CACAGCCCCGCCTTTGGCCGCTGCCACCCAACGGCCCGGACGCTCGCGCGCGCCAATACGCAGGCGCCGGTGCCTGGCAGCTGCGACGCAGGCGCACTTGGCGTTTCGGGGGCGTGGCGCTGCAGGGCCAGTGGCGTGGCGAGAGCTGGAGAGGCCGCGGGACGCCGCGGGCAGTTGGTGCGCCCCTGGAGCGGAGGTGTGGCGGTCGTGCGCGCGCGCGCGCTTTCCGGGTGCGTGCTGCTCCCCTGCTCTTGCTGACCTGAGCAGCCCCTCTGCGAGGGGGGCGAGTGCAGTTGTCCCAGCTTAGGGCAGAGTTAAGGAGGGAATCCCGGTGTTGTGGCTCCCCGTCCTGTGTTCTGACTCAAAGCCTTTCCTTCCCAAGATGCTTCTGTCCTGGCATCACCCTGCGTACCCCTACCCATCTATAAAAGCTGTTCCAGCACCGCTGCCTGCTCCTGTCAGTACCTTCCTTTTTTTAGATTGGGTCTCTGGAGTACTAAAGTCACATTAAAGGATTACACTTTCCCCACCTGCTCAGAGCTGTGAGAGAGAATCTGCTTGCTCATCTTTCCAGAGGGCCTCCATTGCCAAAGAAACTGAATACCTCAGAAGCCTCTGTGTGTTCATGTTCACAACATTCTCTGTGGTAGAGAAGTACTATTTATGTTTTACAGGTAGGGAAATTCGGGCACAGAGGGTCAATATTGCCAACACTAGGCATTTAAAAAAAACAGGAAACAAAATCAGTTGAATTTTTAATAGTATATTTTGTTTCCTAGTTTCTGGGCCTTTTGGGTGTACTCAGGTTTTCAAGCTTTTTTCTGCAGCCATGACAACTAGAAATGTACTTTCATTCTAAATGAAAACTGAGATTTTCACTTAATCACTTTCCTTCAGCAGCTGGAGTTTTCAGAAAAACATCAACTGCCAGGTAACACTTTCAAAAATGATGAGAGTTGGCAACACTTATTTATACACATTCCCACCCCAGAAGTGTGGCTGTTGTTTACATTACAAATACAAAGATATGTCCCTAAATAAGAGGTCTTTTGGAGCAGCTGCTATTCTTATGTAAAAGTGCTGGGTGCAGCCAAGTACCTGTAGTTCAAAATATCCTGTTACTCACAGCAATGCAGAGCTATGAATGCAAGCAAGAACAAAGAGGGCTGCCAGCTATGGCCAGGAAGAGACTCTGGTTTGTGTTCTATTGATTGGCTGTAAAGTTAAAATAAGAGAGGGTTTTTTTTTAAATAAAAGCTTTCTTTGAATTAATATGGAAACAGAGTTTGCAGACTAATTTTAGATATGAATCAGCGCATGAGAGTACCAAACAGTAGGCAATGTGGATTGGGCCAAGGTGGGACAAATAAGACCATAATTATTATCTAGTTTTGGTGTGTTCACAGTACACACATATATAAGCTCACTGTTACATTCCCCTTCAGTAAACATTCCCCTTTAGTCCTGAATCTTACTGTTCAAAGTGGAATCTATCAGATATTGGGTGTTACTCAGCTTCTCTTCCTACTCTTATTTGTTCTCTACTCTTTTTTTAATGCTCTTATTCATACCACTTCTGTCCCTTGCAAATGTACCTTTTCATTAATGATTTAGAAGAACACATAAGGGCTACGTCTACACTGGCCCCTCTTCCGGAAGGGGCATGTAAATTTCACTAATCGTCGTAGGGAAATCCGCGGGGGATTTAAATATCCCCCGCGGCATTTAAATAAAAATGCCCGCCGCTTTTTTCCGGCTTTTAAAAAAGCCGGAAAAGAGCGTCTAGACTGGCCCCGATCCTCCGGAAAAAGTGCCCTTTTCCGGAGGCTCTTATTCTTACTTTGAAGTAGAATAAGAGCCTCCGGAAAAGGGCACTTTTTCCGGAGGATCGGGGCCAGTCTAGACGCTCTTTTCCGGCTTTTTTAAAAGCCGGAAAAAAGCGGCGGACATTTTTATTTAAATGCCAAGAATAAGAGCCTCCGGAAAAGGGCACTTTTTCCGGAGGATCGGGGCCAGTCTAGACGCTCTTTTCCGGCTTTTTTAAAAGCCGGAAAAAAGCGGCGGACATTTTTATTTAAATGCCGCGGGGGATATTTAAATCCCCCGCGGATTTCCCTACGACGATTAGTGAAATTTACATGCCCCTTCCGGAAGAGGGGCCAGTGTAGACGTAGCCAAGCATGTTTGTAAGTCCCATGGAAATCAGGATTACTTAAATACTTGCTAAAAATCCCATGGAAAACTATCAGAGGTAGCAGCGCGAAGAAGGCCAGGAGCAGGGGAGGCTGCCATGAAGCATCTTCTGACCATAGTAGGCCTGAGCTCCCTGCAGACAGAGGCTGTTCTGTGACAGTAACCTCTGTCCACAGGGGGTCCGAGCTCCCCACAGACAGAGGCTGCTCCACAGTATGGGCTGTTGCTGCTACAGAACAGCCCCTTTCTGAGGGAACCTCGGACCCTCAATGGACAGGGGCTGCTGCACCTCTGTATCTGAGGCAGCAGTGCGGGGTGGCAGGCAGCTGGTCTTCAGTAGGAGCTGGTTTTTAAACTAGCTCCCCTGGCAGTCCAGCTCCTGCCTGCCACCCCGTATTGCTGCCTCTGATACAGAGGTAGCAGTGTGAGATGGCAGTTGACTCCCTGGAAGTGGAGCCAGGAATGTGCTAGATGCCAGCCCCACCCCTGCGGACTATGAGTAGTCATGTAACCACTAAGATTTCATGCAGTTACAGTACTATTCAGTTACACAATATCTAACATCCCTAGTAACAATATTTAAAACAGCAGTGTCTGCAATATCATGAAAATGTGTTATTAGTTCAGGGAAATAATTGGCAACCAGTGGCACATGCTAGCCTAGTGGGAACTACTCTGTCTGAATAGCTGTGGAGAGGGAAAAGTCACTCTATATAGGAACCAAAACCCTATATTTTCTTCTTACATTAGTATAAGTTGCAGCACTCCACCTGTAGCCAGACAGACCAACCCCCCATATCATCCATCTTATTTGCCTCTCTGAAGCATACAGGGCAGAGAAGGAGCAGTAAAATCAGCATAGTCTATGCTGGCTCATCTGATCCTGAGAAGCTGAAAAAACAGATATGTGGAGAGAGAGCGATTAAGTCAATAAGCTGGCCTCGAGGCTGCGAGAACTGCCCCGGCTGGCACTCATGTTGATTCGAACACACACATGGTCCCTGGGAGAGGAATTTCTCACTGAGAAAAGAATTCCCAGTAATTCCAATTTAGTTATCGCTCTTACAAGTGTAAATTAAGTTCACAACTCCCTTGTAAGAACTGGTCTCACAAAAGACAGACCAGCCCCATTTGGCATGACAGATAAGAAAGAGAAATACGTGACCCCATGAGTATAAAGGTGGTACAGCAGCACACTCTCTTTTGAGTGTCATTCTACCCTCTACCTGCTGGGCGGGTTAGGTGTTTGACCTCCCGAGGTTCTATGGGGACGCCCACCTCATATTTTTGTCTTTCCTAGGAATTGAGGGACCGGCCCTGGCCTGACATGCTGGAGTCGAGAGGCACAGAAGGGGGTAAAAATTGTACCTGGATGTGGTCCTCTGTCTTAAGTGTACACATAGAAAGAGTAAGCTGTTACTTGGTACCATTATTTCTATTTTTCTATCTTTATCTTCTTTGTAACCATTTTTAAGATCTATATTTTGCTAGTAGTTAAGAAATAGAGCAATAGCCATTGTAACCATATGATTTATAAGCTTCTTTAATAAACCTGTAACTGTTTAAGCTTTAACCTGACTCCTTCAGTTGCTGTAACAGAACCAGGCACAATTTAAAAGAACTTCAGCCGGTCATAAAGGGACAGATATAGGGAGAGCTTGGGCGTTTGGATTTGTGTCACACCCAGGTGGCAAAATCCGTTGGGGCGCTTCTCAGCCTCCCCGAGGCTGCCCGCTGCGAAGGAATTGTGAATTCGAGCAGCTGAAATCTGAAGTGTAAAAAGCTCTCTCTGTACACTCATTGGGGCGCCCATCAACCTCTTCCAGGTTGCCCACTGCAAGGGACCCCGGTCTCAGCAGTTGAAGTCTCGGGTGTATAGCACATACACACTGCCCTGACCGTCGGCTGACAGTAATGTATGACATTAAAATCTAGCTGTACTTTCATTGGAACTACATAATAAAAAAAAATGTCTGCTCCGCAAACAGAAGAAACTATTTTAGGAATAACTCAGTATTTTGGGTCTGGACTAAGAGTTTGAGGTTTGTGAGGGAAATTCAAGGAGGACTTTAAGGGAGAATTTAGAAAGTAGACAAAAGGTACTCAGTGTTTTGTTTTGTTTTACTATTAAGGGTTCAGAGAAAGGGAACCCAAAATTGATCCTATCTAATGAAAAGACTCAAACTCTGCAACTGCTTTTTTTCAAAGGCAAGGTCTTTTCAGTAGTGGATGCATAAAATCCTGCAATTTTTCTTTCAGAGAGACAAGGTTGTGCGAAATAATACAGGAAATTCTCACCATTCATGATAGATGCATTCTCGAATCCTCCATGAATGGCAACATTTGTGAATACTGGGGCCCGCTGCTCCAGGCCCCCAAAGTGAGCTCCCCACAGTGAGTTCAGTAGTATTTTGCAGAACAATTTTGCAGAACTGATGCTATTATGTATTGATCTAGCCTTGTCCTTCAAAATGGTTTCTCATTAGTTAGTGATTCAGTTTTCCAGATGTCCATCAGCATGAGCATGGGGCTACAGCAGAAAAGGCCATGTAATCGTGGAAAATTCATAGGAATGCAGGGATTCCACCCTTGCAGGTGAGGCACTGCAATTTACCTTACTTTGCCTGTTCTCATTGTTTATGACACTTTCAAAAGTTCCTCTCAATAAAGAATCCCCTCATCCAATGGTGCCAAAACTGAGGGGCCATAGGAGACAGACTGGGATGGACCCATCACCTGAGGGTGAGGTGTGTACCAACAGGTAAGGAGCAGGTTGTGAGAGGCACCTGAAAGGGGCTGACTCGGGGGCGGGGGGAGAAGGAGAGGCTCTCTCAAGCACTGAAGCTCCTGGGAGGGGTGGGAATAGGGGCTCATGGGAAAGCAGCATCAGGCTACTGGCAGTTATGGGGCACTTGAGAGAGAGGAGGAGGAGGGTCAGGCCAGGAGAAACTCTCTCTCTCTCTCTCAATCTAGATTAGTAGTAGAGATGTAGTCGTGTTAGTC